GTGCAATTTGCTTTTCAATTTAACAAGAGCTTATAAGCTGTCCTTATAATGAACACACAACTGTAAATGGGAAAATATAAATAAATAAATAAACCATTTCAAATTGAAATATCCGATTAGATTTTTTTTAAAGAGGCTTAATTAAACTTGTAATTTTATTTTTTGCAAGCAGGGGAACAAAAGCTACAAATTTTTCATATCATGCTAGCAGCTCTACAACAAATTGTAATGCGTAAGTTTCAAAATAACTTTTTTCTTGATTAATAATTTGGTTTCTTCTGTTTTAAAATAAAATCTTAAAAAAATTGAAATAATACAAACTATATTATTAAGTATTGAATTTTTAGGAAAAAAAATCGAAGTATTATGCTTGATTATGCTTATGATTATGATTATGATTATGCTTGATTATGATTATGCAAAGTATTATGCTTAAAGCTTGATTAAAACAATTATCAAATTCACACTTATATCTTATAGTTCAAAATATCACTAACATTATGCAAAATCAACACACACTATGGCAAACGTTATACAAATTTACATAAAGTCAACGTAGTCTAAAATCAAAGTTTTGTAGGAAATATATTTGCAACAAAATTCTGAAATGTAAGAAAATTCTGAGAACAAAAAAATTAATAATTCGAATATTCATTTAGGAAAATTAATTTTTTTGTGAATAATTTATTTCAATAAAATTTTTAAAATGGGTAATTATTTAAATAATTTTTTAATTTGCCAGAGCATGAGCAAGAAAGAAAATGAAACGGAAAGAGAAAAATACTGCTCGAAACAAGTTCTTCCTATTCCTAACTATAAACTATACACCAACATATACTTTTTTTCGAGTTAAAAAATAAACAAGAATGAAATATTTTAGTTACCAGTTTTTACTCTTTTCTTTTTTGCAATATATTATAAATTTTTTTGTTTCTTAAAAAGAACATGTGTTACCACAATATCACAAAAACAAAATGTCTCATTCACTGAATAATTTTCTTGATGAATAGGGTTGGGGCCGCCGCACGTCCTGCTTACCCAATTTGTTTCAAATAAAGAAAAAAGAACCTGTACGTCATTCAACTTTTAAACTACCAACTAATTTGACATTCAGAAATAATTTTCTTAGTGTCAGCAACATTAGTGTATTAAATCTCGAAATTTAGACTTAAAANTTAATTAAAAAAAAAAAAAAAAACGGCTTAACTAAATATTTAGTTTTATTTTTTGTAAGCATAGGACCTAAGACTATAAACTTAAAGTAAAGTTTAAAAAATATATAATTTTTTTTTTTTTAAATAAGAGCAAATTTGAGCCCAAAAACTAAAAAATTTTCATGTCATGCTAACAGCTCTACAACAAATTGTAATGCGAAAGTTTCAAAAAAACTTCTTTCTTGATTAATAATTTGGTTTCTTTTGTTTTAAAATAAAATCTTAAAAAAATTGAAATAATACAAATTAGTATTGAATAGTACAAATTAGTTCTATTGTTTAGTATTGAATTTTTAGAGAAAAAAAATCAAGATATTAATACTTAAAACTTGATTAAAACAATTAACAAATTCACGCATATATCTTATAGTTCAAAATATCGCTTACATTATGCAAAATCAACACACACTCTGGCAAACATTATACAAATCTACATAAAGTCAACGTAGTCTAAAATCAAAGTTTTGCAGAAAATATATTCGCAAGAAAATTCTGAAATGTAAGGAAATTCTGAGAACAAAAAAATTAATAATTCGAATATTCATTTATGAAAATTAATTTTTTTGTGAATAATTTATTTCAATAAAATTTTTTAAATGGGTAATTATTTAAATAATTTTTTAATTTGGCAGAGTATGAACAAGGAAGAAAATGAAACGGAAAGAGAAAAAGACTGCTCGAAACAAGTTCTTCCTATTCCTAACTATAAACCAACATATACTTTTTTTCGAGTAAAAAAATAAGCAAGAATGAAATACTTTAGTTACCAGTTTTTACTCTTTTTTTTTTTTTTGCAATATGTTATAAATTTCGCTTCCTTTCGAGGAACGTGTGTTACCACAATATCAAAAAAACAAAATGTCTCATACACCTCATAATTTTCATGATGTATAGGGTAGGGGCCGCCGCACGGCTTACTTACCCAATTTGTTTCAAATAAAGAAAAGAACCTGTACGTCATTCATCTTTTAAACTACCAACTAATTTGACATTGAGAAATAATTTTCTTAGTGTCAGCAACATTAGTGTATTAAATCTCGAAATTTAGACTTTTAAAAAAAAAAATTAAAACTACCACTACGATATAGAAATTAAAAAAATATGTAATTAAGATCGATTTGATTGTGGTAAAATTTTCATTCTGGACCTAATAGTTCCAAATCTTCTCAACTTAATCATAAAATCTTGGCAAACAAAAAGAACCGTTGATAACACTTGGTAAAATTTTCTTCCACGGCCGTTTAAGCTGGCAGGTATGTGTATATTTGCATGTAATAGTAGTCTAAATAATTTGTTATAAACTTATAAATCCAGGAATTATATAGTAATACAAATTTACTAAAGTTAGATATGAAAATTAAATACCCTGAAAAATGTAAAAATATTTTCTCATTTACTTTGCAGTACAATTGTTGTGACAAAAGTAAGTAAAAAAATACGATATCCGTTATGCTTTATGAAATAAATTTAGTATAAAATTTCTACTTTTTTTAATTATAAACTGATTTCTGCATAACACGAATTAGCATAAATAAATAAAAGACATTGCTAATTACATTAAAAAAAACAAGAATGAGAAAAAAAAGCTATAAGTCAATATTTAAATAAAAAATATAGTGAAGAAAACAACAACAATCAAACGAAAAGTGTAGGTTGAACTGTTCCGTTATTTGAACGCTATAAAATTCTCATGGTAGACCGGTTCTCGTTTGAGCATGAAGATAGGAAATTAGTCTTCAAAAAATGCCGCCAGAAGAAACGATTTGGCGATTTATTTTTATCCCAGTTTGTTTTACAAAAAAATCTCAAAGCTTCGATAACAGTTTGAAACCTGTCTGTTTGTTTCATGATTAATGAATGACGACTTGTTTGACCTTATACTTCGGACCTAATAGAGGTTAATAAAGAAAAAAAATTGAAGACAATATTGACAGAGATATTGAAAACATTTGTAAAAAAAGGATCTGCCTATTCAAAAAATTTAATTGCGTAACTAAAAATGTATTGTCCTAAAAGCAATTTATTGTCCTAATTAAACAGACTACCAAAAGTAAAAATATTGCCATTGAATAAATAACGTCAGCATTCTTGACATTTTCTTTCTAAGAACATTTTATTGTCCTAATTAAACAGACTATGAATATTAAAAATATAAACATTTTATAAAAAAAAAAATATATTAGTAACATTGACATTTTCTTCCTAAAAACATATTTATTGTCCTAATAAAACACGCTACCAAAATTATAAATGTACACATTTAATAAAAAATGTCGGTATTTTCGACATTTTCCTTCTGAAAACAATTTATTGTCCTAATAAAACACACTACCAAAATTTCAAAATGCGCACATTTAATAAAAAATGTCGGTATTTTCAACATTTTCTTTCTAAAAACAATTTTATTGTCCTAATAAAACACGCTACCAAAATTATAAATGTACACATTTAATAAAAAATGTCGGTATTTTCGACATTTTTTTCTGAAAGCAACAATTTATTGTCCTAATAAAACTCACTACCAAAATTACAAAATGTACACATTTAATAAAAAATGTCGGTATTTTTGAAATTTTCTTTCTAAAAACAATTTATTCTCCTAATAAAACACACTATCAAAATTACAAAATGTACACATTTAATAAAAAATGTTGGTATTTTCGACATTTTCTTTCTAAGAACAATTTTATTGTCCTAATAAAACACGCTACCAAAATTATAAATGTACACATTTAATAAAAAATGTCGGTATTTTTGACATTTTCTTTCTAAAAACAATTTATTCTCCTAATAAAACACACTATCAAAATTACAAAATGTACACATTTAATAAAAAATGTTGGTATTTTCAACATTTTCTTTCTAAAAACAATTTTATTGTCCTAATAAAACACGCTACCAAAATTATAAATGTACACATTTAATAAAAAATGTCCGTATTTTCGACATTTCTTTCTAAAAACAATTTTATTGTCTTAACAAAACACGCGACCAAAATTATAAATGTACACATTTAATAAAAAATGTCGGTATTTTCAAAATTTTCTTTCTGAAAACAATTTATTGTCCTAATAAAACACACTACCAAAATTACAAAATGTGCACATTTAATAAAAAATGTCTGTATTTTCGACATTTTCCTTCTAAAAACAATTTTATTGTCCTAATAAAACACGCTACCAAAATTATAAATGCGCACATTTAATAAAAAATGTCGGTATTTTCGACATTTTCTTTCTGAAAACAATTTATTGTCCTAATAAAACACACTACCAAATTCACAAAATGTACACATTTAATAAAAAATGTCAGTATCATCGACATTTTCTTTCTAAAAATAATTTATTGTCCTAATTAAACTGACTACGAAAATCAGAAATGTAAGCATTTATAAAAAATGGCAGTGTCATCGATGTTTTCTAGCTGAACTATGACTTAAGAATGCCAATGACAAATTACATTAACTTACACAGAGTGGCATATATTTTACTTGAGATTACACTTAATTTACAAAGCAGGTTAGTCATCGAATTTAATTTAATATTATTGTTTCATACGTCATCATTAAAAATTTACAGCCAATATAATAACTGTACAGGTAATTACAACACAAAATCTGCTGACATGGCACAATATGCATATTTTAAAAATTGACAGTAGAAATTCATTCTTTTCATATCTTCTTTTCGAATTCGTCGGCGAATGAATGAACATAATCTGAAAATCCCGGTATGCTTTCTTTTTCATGGCAACCCTAAAACTTAAACTCCTAAAACGAGAACTTCGTTCCATCTGTTTCATCACTCGGTTCTTTGGTGTCTATCTTGATTTGTCTTAATCTAGATATTCAGTTTAAAGTTCACACTTTCTCGGACATTTAAGGGGTCAAAGGCCACCTGAAAGGTCAGCAACATCTTAAACACATGCGAGTGTGAAAATCACTTTACTTGTAAAGACTCTTCTGTTTCTGTGATACCTTCCTGTGAAACACGTGTATTTATCGTCTGCTCAATGAGTTTCAGTCTAAGGGATTTACACTATAATTGTATATAACATGTGGATTATTTTTCTTATGATACTTTCTGCTGTTGGTAAGTATCATTATCTATTATTAGTATCATAATCTGTTATTATATTATTGGTTTTAAATAATGAATTTAAAAGATATACAGTTTGACAGAAATATATTATTAGAGTATGTACGTACTAGGGAAAATTTAAATTTGGGTATAAATTTCTTTTGATTAGCTTTGGTCTTTTAACAAAAAATTCAAATTCCGTGTCAGTACCATACTACTACGGAGTTTGCTTAGCTTCATAAAATTACATGCATGAAAGTTTAAATGTAAATAAACTGAGAGGAAAGATTTATGATTAATTCTGTTTTATCTGTTAATCATGTAACTTAATCATTTTTTGATTTAGTTTATTACCAGTGGAAAAATATTTAGCTCTAATCTCAACTAATCTTATCTTGGAATCTTTCAAGAAATATTGACACTTTGCAGGCATCCATTAAGGTTAGCAAGCAGTGTAATTGCCATTAAAATCCTAAATAATAATATAAATGTTACTAGATACAATTATTAAGATTTAAATATATAAATCTAAAGTTATAAATATATTCTGGTAGATACAAACTAAATTAAACACAGCTTTGTTTTTTTAAAATCTGAATTATAATACCATTTTCCCAAGAGCAAAAAAATTTTTCATTAGTTATTTAATTCAAAACTAAAATTGCTTCAACACATTTTGTAATGATAAATATGATAAAAAGTGGTAGGGCTTTTACGACAAAATTAATTTGATATTTTCTACTGCTAGCCACCACTTTAGTTCTAAAGGTTCCGCAGTTGCAAAATTTCAGATTAAAGTAAAGAAATGATTGTTACATTATGCATAGCTGCAGTTTTTCACATTTAATAGTAAAAATTCTTGTAAAAGTAGCGATATAACAATTGATTTTACAATTATAAACAGTAACTCTCTTAACGATGCAAACACATTAATTATATGGAATGGTAGTCTTGATTATTATGGTTCAATTAAAAAAAAAAAGTAGATACATTTTTTTTTTTTTTTTTTTTTACCACACAATATAAATGAAATCTCCCACAAAAAACAGGAGATTCCGCAATTATGCATTATGTAAGAGATGATAGGTTTATGCCAAGTACAACCGTTTCTCAAACATAAACATCAAAGATGAAATATTTGATAGGTCAGTCTGTATAACTTTTCAAAGAATTCACTGAAAAATTGCCCTTCATGCAGAAATGCCAACTTGCATTGCTTTGTAAAAAAATATTTTCCATCGGTAACGAAATTTTTAGTTTAGTATTTTACTTTTTAAGTAATTGTTTCACCTCTACATATCAAAAATTCAAAGTATCTTTTGAAATGCAAATTTTTTGCAAATATTTTGTGGTAACACTCATTAAGCATGGGCGTAATTATCCTTAGTCTACAAGATTTACTATTTTATTCGCTACCCATTAATTGCCTTCGTGGAAGACGTTTTGATGGAACAAACCACGAATTCCTGCCGTGGTTAGCCCGACGGCAAGAGGATTCTAACCCGCAATCCGTCTACCACTGAGGATATTTTATGTCAGCATTATGGTTGGTGCAAGTCGGGAGACGAATTCGCATCCACTAGCAAACGCTGGGATTCATGCTTGGATCACCTCATAGGGAAGCGTGTGCTACATCTTTAATTGAAATTAATTTTATAAAACCAATGATGAAATAGAGGAATGTAAATTTTGATATCATTTTAAATATAAAAATAAAATCTTACGGAATAGTAGGTACTTCATATATACTCTCCAATTATTACAAAATTTTGGTAGTTTCGGAAAAGGTTTTCTCCAATGTAATAATGGTAATGTACGGTTGTTTTGATAGTTTTAGAAATATTTATTTAAAACAGTGCTTGTGCAGTTTAAATGGATCTTTTATGAGTCAGCCCCACTGTGGGTCAGTGATAAGATAGGGAAGCAAGAATGCGGTGGCTGATTGTGTACAATTTTTAAAAAGATAAATACAAATAGAACAAGCTCTTGCTTTTTTCTTGGAGAAACAACACAAGTCCATCCCCAGTGACAGGGTTCCCACGGTCTGGAAATTTTTTTTAAGTGGTCGCAAAAGTGATATAGATTTAGAAGTTTTAAGCTACCAATAAATGTTTAATTCAAGGAAATATATAGAGGTTCAAAAAATAATATAACTCGAGAATAATTTCATAATTCGAAAATAAAAGCTAAATTAATGCATTTTTCAGCAATCTTGAAAAATCTTATCCACCACTCATTTATTTTTTCAAGGTCGTGGGAACGCTGCATTAGAAAAACAAATATTCTGATATGGATTTATAATTATGAGATAGCGATTTGTTTTCTCTCTTAATTTAAATGGTTTTAAGCGTAATAAAATATTTATATTATTGATAAATTAAGGCCTTTTATTTGTACTAACACTTTATTCGAAGATAAAAAAAAAAACATGTTTTAATGTCCATTTAATAACACTCGAGATTTTAAACAGAATATTTTTCCAGTGGTATTGAACAGAAGTGGAAACATTCAAAGCTAATAGAATGTTTATAAAACTTTAATAATAACTTAAGACAATGACCATATAACATTTGTCCGTTTATATGTCTGCCTAACACATTGCAAACGGGTCACGTAAAAATAATTTTTTGAAATTTGTGCTGTCCATACGAAAGTTTAAAAAGTGATAACAAAATTTCTTCTTTTCCGTTGTGTTTTTCAAAGAAATTATCTATTCGTGATTACCATAAACATAAATGATTCAGTATTATATGTAATCATTACTACAATCTTTCGTCGTGCATTTTTTTTTTTTAAATTGAAATTGCAGCTATAGTGACGAGTTTGCTCCAGCTTTTACGAAATCTTGCTTAGAACTTTCTTAAAATTTTAATCATAACACCTGTAATATATTTTTTGAAAAAGTTGCTCGCGTGCAATGCATAAACAACATTCGAGATTTTAAGAGAATGTTTCTCCAGTGAACTAAAACCGAAAAATTCAAAACTAATAGAATTCTTATAAAACATTAATAATAACTTAAGAAAATGATTATATGACATTTGATTGTTTATATATCTGCTCAAATTGATTACATGTAGTTGCGTGAGAAATTTTTTTTTAATTATAATTTATTAAATATTTCTATATTACTCTTTGCACTGACTAGGAAAAAAACATTTTCTAATTCAAAAATTCCTAAGTAGTTGAAGGTAGGTAGGTAAGTACTTTATTTACGTCCCACTAGAGCAGCACAATAAGCTATTGGCAACGGTCTGGAAAACATTCCTGAGGATGATCCGAAGAGATGCAGTCGCAATTTTGATCCTCTGCAGAGGGGATGGATCGCCTGTTTTAGTAGCCCGACCACCTGCACGCTAAGTCGAGAACTTTACGGTAGAACAGTTTAACGAGGACAGATGTCACACACCCTCTGTTCCTACGCAGGCTGATCAAAGTGGTCACTTGCAGCAGTGGTCACTTACTTACAGCAGCCAGTGATGCTTAACTTCGGTGTTCTACTGGGAACCTCGTCCTTACGATCAGTCCACTGGGGGACAAGAAGTTGGAGGATATTTAATGGGAAAAATGCAGAGGATACTTTCTCATTTTAACACGTTCACGCCGGGAAAAGTGAAAATACCGGTACGGGAAAGGAGAAAATACTGGTAGAAGAAGTATTTCAATATTAGATAATATTAGGGAGGAGTTAATCTATTCTCAACAATAACATTTCACTGTAAGGAAATTTATCACGGCGGTGAAGCAATTCAATATAATAATTGCATCCGTTAAAAACAATTGGTAGTTATGGATTTTTATTATTCCCGGAAAAAAACTGAAAAATGAAATTTATTGTTACCAGTTTTTACTCCGGTGAGCTGCCAAGATGAGAAAATCTAGCGCAGAGGTCGCCAAAGTGGTCTATATAGACCCCCAGGGGTCTATTTAGCATAAGCGGGGGTCGATCTGAGCCAGGGGGTCGAATGGGGGTCGATTGGTCGAAGGATTATCAGTATTTTTCAGATATGTGACAATTAGAAATAAAAGAAGAAGACTTGGAAATATATACAGGTAATCTTCAAAAATTGAGCGACGATTTTAAACTGCGTTTTGTTGATTTGGAAAACATTGACATCACTGATTGGATTATTGTGCCATTTTCTGCTCAAATTGAAAACGTGGACATCAACCTGCAAGATGAGCTTGCTGAATTATTATGGGGATTTGAAGCAAAGACGCTTTTTAAAAATTTAACAATAAGCAAATTTTGGACAAATATAAATATAATGCAAAAATATGTAAGACTTTACGAAATAGCTCAGCCATTTATGATAGCATTTCCAAGTTCCTATATGGTTGAAGCCGGTTTCAGTCACGTAAATTCAATCTTAACTAAGAACAGAAATAAATTAAATGTGGAGTTTCGAGGGGATTTAAGATTAAAATTGACCAATTTTGAACCCAATATAACGAACCTTGCAGAAAAAAACACACCAGGCACACCCATGTCATTGATTAAGAAGCAATAAATCCGTAGTTACTTTACTTATTATTTCTACTTACTTATAATTACTTATTATTTCATAAATATTAAGGTATTTATATTTCAACATTAATATATTTTTCATAAAACTATTGTTACACTATGTACTATTACTTTAATAAATGTTCAAAATCATAAAATAAATGTACAAACACAGTATCTAATAGAGTTTTATTTTAATTAACAGAAAATTATTTTTATGGGGGTCGATGGAGATTTCGAAAAATTATGTAGGGGTCGATGATCAAAAAAGTTTGGCAACCCCTGATCTAGCGTGACCCACCGGTGGGTCACATCGGCGGGAACGTGTTAAGCTATAACTATCATCATCATCATCAAAATATAACTGGGCGCCTGGGGCCGTTAGCGGCCTTTTTCCCATTCGTCTTGTATTTAATCTTTAAGGTGGTTCTTTCTGGTAATTGGAATGCAATTTTAATAAAGAGAAATTAAATATTTTGTATTTTAGTTAAAATTATGTCACTAC